AATAACATTGTGGAGGCCCTCAACCGATTCCTCCTCTACCAGGGAAGCTGTAGAACAAAACTGTATTGAGATATAAACCAATACAAAGTATCAACTTTACGAAATAAATTGCACACAGCTCCAAAATTGATGCCTGCAAAAGAATAAAAAAAATATATTTTTAGCATTAGATTTTCCTTTTTACCTTCGACAGATTCCCCGACTTGGACCCCAGCAATTCCAATGCAAGAGTACAATGAATTTTCGTCAATCTGCAACTGCTCATACGCTGTATATACATCCTCAACTGTGGCAGCTTCGTATAGTGAAATCAGATCTTTGATGCAAGAGATATCCTGAGTTAACAAGAACAGTGAGCCTCACATCTCGAAGAGGGCGAGATTCAATGATGAGTAGTAAAGTATCTTTGTGTTCTGTTAAAACATTTATACGATAACAGGTAAACTTGACTCATATAGTCATATTATGCATATTGTTTTAGTGAATAATTTAAACAAAATATTTCTATTAAGATTATGTATTTTTCATTAACGAATAACTTTTTTCCACAGAATTTTGACATTTTGTATGTTGAATTGTTTTTTATTCAATCATTCTTAAACATATGCATGTTCAAAATATTGTTCCTCTTTAATTTTTTTAATACTATAACCAAAAATCCCTATAGTAAACAATGTGATATTTGAAAATTACTAAATTAGAGATGGTACTGCATTATATATTTTGCACTTACGAAATAAAATATACTTTATTTAAAAAATCTTAAAATAATATTTTAAGATATAATAAAAGATTTTTTATGTGTAAGAACTTAAAGATATAATAAAGTATAAAAACTAAAAGATAATGAGTAAACTTAAATTTTAAAATGGAGGTTTAAAACTTAACAAATATGAAACATTGTTAGTTGTAACTTCCTAACGTTAAAAAACTACATTAACAACCTTAGAAATTCTTGGCAATTCAAAAGTTTCAAGAAACTACTCTTTTTTCAAGAGTGTTATAGAATAGATTTGGCCTCAACTCACTTGACCTGACAAGACTAGCTGGGGTCATCAATTATACTATGGTGACGCCCATCAAATTTTTAAGGTAATATAAAGTACCTATTTCTCATTTGGCCAAGTGATATGTATAAAAAAAGTTTAGTTGTAATCATAATGGGTAGGATGGAAAGTCGGAGAGCTACTAGTGTTGGTTAGAAACATTGAACTCTGTTGACAATTTCCATCGGCTCCAATATCAGCACTTGGAAAATGTAAGACCAACGTAAGCATAAGAGTGGTTTCTGTAATTTCCAAATTTAGTTCCTTTTGTGATAGAGATGCAAGAATGCAATGATATCAATCTTAGAATAATTTATGTTGATTTTTTGGAATCTTAATGATTTTGACTGGTTATTATTCCTTATATGTTATTATTTTTCACACCTTATATTTACAATTTTATATTAGCTATAGTTTAGTATATAAGACAGGGTTGTCAAGAGGTTAGTATGAAAAGATTTATTTTGTAATAGCATAGGCTATTGGGGAAGTTTCTTGCTGGGCAGAGAGCCTGCTGGAGAAGTCCAGTACTTCTTTGAGAAGCTTACATCTCTCTTTTTATTGATCCTTTATTCCTAACATTTTGTAATTCACAAAACCGAACGCCATAGCAGTTATCCATTAATATGAAGTCATGATAATGAACGCTATATACAACAAATATGCTTTAGTTTCAAAAAGTTAATGAAATAGGAGATGATTCCACATGCTAACCTTGCTTGGAACAGATGTAGCTTGCAAGTGGGCCATCAATCCTAGCCAATACGTGTTTGACTTGATCTCAGCTTCATGACGCATAAGCAGCGTTCGTCTAGCCTGAATATATGCCGACAAAAGAGTTAATAACAGAATCAAGCCTCTGATT